ATGTATTTCCCATAGGGTCTTATGTTAAAGGAAGTCCCCCCATTGGCGGCCATCATGGATGAAGGATCAGCTTCAAAGTAACAAAAATTAGTCAGCACCTCATAAGGAACATTCATGCCATGTTTGGTTCAATCCATTCAGTATGTGGTTCTCTAAAAGAAGACATTTGTATGTATTGTCCATAGGGTCCTTTGTTAAACATTGTCCCCATCTGGCAGCCATCATAGATGAAGGATCAGCTTCAAAGTAACAACACTTGGTCAGCACCTCGAAAGGAACATGCATGCCATGTTTGGTTTCATTCCATTCAATGGTTCTCTAAAAGAAAACATTTGTACGTATTTCTCATAGGGTCCTATGTTAAACTAAGTCCTCCGCTGGCGGCCATCTTAGATTATGGATCGGCTTCATAGTAACAACACTTGGTCAGCACCTCATAAGGAACATTCATGCCATGTTTGGTTTCATTCCATTCAGTGGTTCTCTAAAAGAAAACATTTGTATGTATTTCCCATAGGATCCTATGTTAAACTAAGTCCCCCGCTGGCTGCCATCTTGGATGATGGATCGGCTTCAAAGTAACAACACTTGGTCAGCACCTCATAAGGAACATTCTTGCCATGTTTGGTTTCATTCCATTCAGTGGTTCTCTAAAAGAAGACGTTTGTATGTATTTCCCATAGGGTCCCATGTTAAACTAAGTCCCCCGCTGGCGGCCATCTTGGATTATGGATCGGCTTCAAAGTAACAACACTCGGTCAGCACCTCATAAGGAACATTCATGCCATGTTTGGTTTCATTGCATTCAGTGGTTCTCTAAAAGAAAACATTTGTATGTATTTCCCATAGGATCCTATGTTAAACTAAGTCCCCCGCTGGTTGCCATCTTGGATGATGGATCGGCTTCAAAGTAACAACACTTGGTCAGCACCTCATAAGGAACATTCTTGCCATGTTTGGTTTCATTCCATTCAGTGGTTCTCTAAAAGAAGACATTTGTATGTATTTCTCATAGGGTCCTATGTTAAACTAAGTCCCTCACTGGCGGCCATTTTGGATGATGGAACGGCTACAAAGTAACAACACTTGGTCAGCACCTTGTAAGTAACATTCATGCTATGTTTTGTTTCATTCCATTCAGTGGTTCTCTAAAAGAAGTCATTTGTATGCATTTCCCATAGGGTCCTATGTTAAACTAAGTCCCCCGCTGGCGGCCATCTTGGATGATGGATCGGCTACAAAGTAACAACACTTGGTCAGCACCTCCTAATGAACATTCATGCTATGTTTTGTTTCATTCCATTCAGTGGTTCTCTAAAAGAAGTCATTTGTATGCCTTTCCCATAGGGTCCTATGTTAAACTATGTCCCTCGCTGGCGGCCATTTTGGATGATGGAATGGCTACAAAGTAACAACACTTGGTCAGCACCTTGTAAGGAACATTCATGCTATGTTTTGTTTCATTCCATTCAGTGGTTCTCTAAAAGAAGTCATTTGTATGCATTTCCCATAGGGTCCTATGTTAAACTAAGTCCCCTGCTGGCAGCCATCTTGGATGATGGATCAACTACAAAGTAACAACACTTGGTCAGCACCTCCTAATGAACATTCATGCTATGTTTTGTTTCATTCCATTCAGTGGTTCTCTAAAAGAAGACATTTGTATGCATTTCCCATAGGGTCCTATGTTAAACTAAGTCCCCCGCTGGCTGCCATCTTGGATTATGGATCGGCTTCAAAGTAACAACACTCGGTCAGCACCTCATAAGAAACATTCATGCCATGTTTGGTTTCATTCCATTCAGTGGTTCTCTAAAAGAAGTCATTTGTATGCATTTCCCATAGGGTCCTATGTTAAACTAAGTCCCCCGCTGGCGGCCATCTTGGATGATGGATCGGCTACAAAGTAACAACACTTGGTCAGCACCTCATAAGGAACATTCATGCCATGTTTGGTTTCATTCCATTCAGTGGTTCTCTAGAAGAAGTTCAAAATGTAAAAAGTTTACGCCGACGACGGACGACGCCGGACGACGCCGGACGACGGACGCCAAGTGATGAGAAAAGCTCACTTGGCCCTTCGGGCCAGGTGAGCTAAAAAGAAACAGTGCATAATAGATAAATAAAATATACATCTAAAAATTGTACAACACCAAAATCAAGTAAAAAAATTAACATTAAATCATAAATACATAAAACGATAGCTATTTGAGATAACATAAATCCTTCAGTATGTACTGCCTGATGTAAAATAGCATTTATTATATATACATGTATTTTAATTCAATAAGATAATTGTGTTTCTTATAAATGGTCACATTTTTTTACACAAGAACAAAAGATACAATGTATTAAATAATACAATGGAACTATAACTTTAATGGCATCTTACAGTGTCAGTAGTAACTGGTTAATTGAGATTAACAACACAAAGACAGTGTTCTCTTTAAAGATTTTTTAAGGCGAGTCCAGGGACTCGTCATTTTTGGTCATGGTGAGTGAAAAAACGATATTTTATTGCTATATCATTTATTATTTCAGATCCTTTGACAAAATAGAGCAAGGAAATGACATCAAATTTAGATTATTTTTAAACTGTTAAAATGATATATATTTGTGCTCAGTTTATACAACATTTTCCAAACTTGATATGTCTTTGAACTCATCAGATTTGAAAATGGTGAGTCCAGACAGATTTTCATGAGTCCAGGACTCATGGACTCACCTTAGTGAGAACCCTGAAAGACAAGTGAAAATTGAAAAAATCTCTTACTTTCAACGTTTATCAAGAAAAATGATTAAAAATCTTATATGACTGATTTAAAAAAAAGATATATATTTACCGGTTTCTTTCCTTCATATTGACATAAGATTTTATTTTAAAGGTGTTAATTTTCACTGCCTGTCCGTCAATTTTGTTGATAAAGATTTCCTGAACTTCTGTGGTTAAGCTTTGTACAAATTCAGAGTATATACTGACAAGTTCCTGTTACATAAACTAACAGTAGAAAAGAAATTGAGTGATGTACGCTAGGAATTTGTTTGAATACAAATAACTGAGATTTATGAAGACAGCAACTGAAAACTTCAAACAACAAAAACATTACTAGAGATCATCAAACAATCCCACATATAGACAAGTCCCCATACAATAGGTTGAGCTCTATATTGCAGAGAGAACAATAAATAAAGGTTGAGAAAAAATAAATATAAACTATCATTAATCTGACATTAAAACTAAATTCTCCATATAACATAAAACATTCAAATTTGACACAAGATAAAACCTGACAAGGCTCTTATAGCTTGGGACAAGCATATGAACCAGTGGCAGACTACTAGATTTCAGTCACCTTTTAATTATGATAAGAAAGGCTAATATAAGGTATATAAAAAAACAAACAATAAAATCCAGGACTAGAGAAAACCTATTCTAAATACAATAATTATATAAAAAATATCAAAACACTAGTACAAACAAAACAATAATTAACAATCTTTACACTACATTGAAAAAGTCATGGTTTTCTCAGACTGTTTTTAACTAATAATATGTGATGTTCAGAAGAAAGTGATATTATTTTATGTTTCCTCTATTTTTATTCTATTATTTTACTATTACTTAATATTCAACAACTATTTCTAGTGAACTTATAAAAATAGCCTTTTTATGAGAAGGTTTAGATTTGAGTATGAATTGGAGATAATTTCATGTCACAAAAAATATAAGTTCCAAGGGGAATCCAGGGTCCGAGGAAAGGGTAATGTTATTGCCAAGGTTTTAAAAAAAAAAATATTTTGACATAGTTGCCCTATAGTGATCAGTCTGTCCGTTCGTCCGTCCGTAACAAATTGTGTCCGCTCTATATCTAGAGAACCGTTATAATTTCATACTTTATACTTGACATATATATTAACCAACACCATAGGGTGTGTCATAATGTTTGTACAACTTCCTAGGTCAATGCTCAAGGTCAGCGGGGCCCACAGAGATGGCTCCTATCTCAATGATGTTTAGTTTTTTCATAAAATGCTACTCACTTGAGATAGAAAACTATTGCTATAAACTAAGGGAGCATGTGCCGTTGTCAATGTAAACATCAAAGACGTCACCTCAAAATAGCAATAAACAGATTATCAATGGTCTTTCAAACTCTATGATGTTTCTCAGCAACATCTCATCTCAGGGCTGTCATCTTTCCATGAGCTTGTAGCTGAGAAACATGTGACCATCTAGTTTGAAAAACCATAGATAATGTATAAATATACAAATTTAAATATGCAGGTAAAATTAATGGAAGCTTATGATTTTTGTATAAAACTACATTGGATTGAGGTTTAAAAGTTTATCCATTCAAATTTGTTTAATAGCAACCGTTTCATTCATTTACAAAATCCAGCAGTCATTTTTCAATATAACAAATTTACAGTTTATTATTGAATCTGTTAGTCATAATTACAAAGAATTATTATTATTAGAAAAATTTTGGTCTCCTTTACATGTAATATTTAACTAAATATTGTTTCATATTATCATTTTTTATATTTTTTAGTTAAGTGAAAACAAAATAGTTATATACTATGAGCAAAGTTTTATGCTTGTCTTTAAAATAATTGTTTTAAAAAGTAAGTCATGATACATATTGTAGCAAAACAGATGAGTAAAAGTATTTGTATTGTATGAGAGAGTCAGAGAGAGAGAATAATCAAATATTTATATGTAACCTTAAATACTATATTGTAAAAATCAATAAGTCAGTGATACATATTGTATACTGCATTATTTTCTATATTTAACCCTATAATGATACCCTTGTATGGTGGTAGTGTATGTAAAATCCTGACAATGGGAAAAAAAACTTAAAAAAAAAAACAATTTAACAGTTGCATCATGAGGACATGATATGGCTGTCTCAATCAAATCAATTGTAATATTTCCATTAACTTAATTTTAAGCCATATACAAAATACGCAAACTTGATTTTAATGCAAGTTGTCGAAGAAAGCAAAATGAAAATCATAAAAATAATTGTAAAGCTCATTTTCACAATACCTAAGATTATCATAATATGTTCAAAGGATTTCCTAAAGCAAAGTTGAGCTACCCTAAATGTCTTTTTTTATAAATTAATTTCAGTGACTCTGTAATGGCATTGATAAAATCCTTAAAAATCTACTGGGATCTTGTCTTCGATCTTTTCATGGTCTTGTTTTTCTTTCTTTGTCTTTCTGTGACTTTCTATTTGGTAATGCTTCCTTTTGTCTGCTTAAGTACTGTCTCTTTAAAGAAATTTCTTAGGGTGAAGTCCCTTTCATGAACCATTCACAAAAGGTTGATACAAAATAAGAAAACTATATTCAACATAAGATTGAATTCCCTATGATTCATTTAACATCTGATTTTGTCTTTGACTTACAAAGAGTCATGTACTCATCTTCAAAAGCAAAATTGTGGAAAAAACATGACTGTGCTTTAGTATCTACTAGTCCATTAATTTTCTCTTCTAATGCATATTTGACTTTATAAATGTCATTTAGTATTTGTTCCCTTCCTACTTTTATCCCCTGCATCACCCTTCCTTGTAATTCTACAACTTTTTTGTTTAATGCAATGAGTTCATTCTTTAAATCTTCATTTAAATTTTCCTTCTGAAGTTCCCTAATTAGCTCATCTTTTAACATACTTAAATGTGACATGCATTTACCCTTGGCACGATCCTCACTGTCAGAGTTAGGAATCTCAAAAAATACCTCCTTTTCACTAACTTTCCTATTAATTCCTATAAGTATGTCAATTATATGTACATCGTGTACATCATCTTTTTTTTGGTATTCATCTAAGGTAGAATGCAATGCTCTTATCATCCACCCTCCTTCATCTTCACTATCTTTCTTACTGTAGGCATATTTCCCTGAAATTTAAATATATAAAGAAAGTGAGGGGGAGTATCTAATGCAATATCCAATATATATGTAAGAGTCAAATCTATATCCAACCTCAAATCTATGTCCCCTAACATCATGACATTCAAATTTGTGGCTATTTGTGTATTCAAATATGTCTCTTTTTCATAAAGTAGATTGTTAATGTGATGTTATGGAACTCAAATCTGTTCCGTTTGGTTTCACCTCAAATCTATTTGATCATTTAGCCTTGTAAATTGTTAATATTGTGGCCAGCAAAAAAACCCTTAGGGACAGTACTGAAATCTCATATAAGAAGTGTATTGAAATATTGATAAGTCATCTCATTTTCCTTGGACCATTTACACCTGACTTAATGGTATCAGCTACAAATTAAAATTACTTATCATTATAGACCAATATATATCAGGACTTAGTTTTGCACTTTTTATTGGTGGACTTCTGTCCTGTGGAAGTGTATCCGATGTGAACCCTTTTTTTACAAACAAGAAAACCTTGTATCATTACTGACTGATCAACTCCCATATGATCAAGTGAATTGTCTGAAGCTAAACATATGCACATTGCAAAGAGTGGTCCATACACAAGTGTATTTCCAAAGTTTGTGACGCAATAAAGGACAGTGTATGACTTGGTGAAAAAGGACAAAGATGTTGACATTTATAATTATATTTTATAATATAGGTTATGACATGGATTTGATAATAGAAGGACATAGATTTGACTCTTACATATATAAAAAAAGTATGCAAAAGTCAGAATTCACTGCAAGATTTTCAGAGACAAGAGTATGGAACACCAAAACTGTGTTATTATGGTCATTTTCATTATATGATGTGATTATATATTTATATGAGGTGGAATCGACATCATATCCAACTTCCATTTTTAAATTTTAAATTCACAAATAACAATAAATGGGGAATGTGTTCTATGATGATGCCCCTGCTTGCATATAACGATATAAAGGGACTTAACTCAAGAACTGTAAAAGTGACACTACCCAAATTTGTACTTGATCTGAGCTTTGTGGTTATAAGCATTGTGTATAAGTTTCATAACATTTGGTTGAGGCGAACTTAAGTGAGAGAACGGAAACAAAAAATTCAGCAATTTTTCCATTGTAAAGGAGCATAACTCTAGAAAGATAAAAGTGGTGCCACCCAAATTCAAACTCAATCTGTGTTTTGTGGTAATAAGCATTGTGTATAAGTTTCATAACATTTGGTTGACGTACTGACGGACAAGGGTAAAACTTTACACTTGAAAAAGACTCTTAAAATTGACTGTACTATAGAAATAAAGGCAATAAAATCTTGCTAATTAACTTAAATAGCAATAATAAATTTGCCACAAAAATACACTGATCAAGAGTCATGCCACCAAAAGATTGGTTCAGTGAAGCTTTAATAAAATTATATACAGTCTCAGTGAAGAAACATAGTAGATTAAGTAAATTGTTAACAGTAAAGGTGCAATAAAATTGATTCATTTGTGTTAATTTGCCCCACATTGACAGTGGGCAAACAAAATCTTACCAGATTCCTAAGTTCAAAGACTCATAACTCCTCCAAAAGTCATCTGATGATAAATTCTTGAGTATATGCACATCTACATATTATGTTATTAATAATTATTATCTACAAAGTTTTATGAAATTCTGTTGTGTGGTTTCTGAGGAGTTGCAATGACAAACTGTTGCAGTTGTATATTTAGGCCAAAATTCTGAGTCAAAGGGGAATAACTCCTAGGAAAAAATAGAATCATAATTTCCTGTTGATATGCACATCTACATAGTATGTCCTTATTGTCTACAATTAGTTTCATGAAATTCTGTTGTGTGGTTTCAGAGGAGTTGCGATGACAAGAACAGGACTGACGGACTGTAGTATATTGAGGCTAATAAGTGCAAAGGGGCATAACTCCTAGAAAAAAAATTTAATCATAATTTCCTGTCCATATGCACATCTACATAGTATGTCCTTATTATCTACAAAGTTTCATGAAATTCTGTTGTGTAGTTTCAGAGGAGTTGCGATGACAAACTGTTGCAGTAGTATATTGAGGCCAATAAGTGCAAAGGGGCATAACTCCTAGAAAAAAATTTGAATCATAATTTCTAGTCGATATGCACATCTACATAGTATGTCCTTATTAACTATAAAGTTTCATGAAATTCTGTTGTGTGGTTTCAGAGGAGTTGCTATGACAAGAACAGGGCTGACCGACTGACAGACGGACGGGTCAAAAACATTATACCCAACACAAAAATTGTGTGGGGTATAAAAACCTATATTTGCTATCTTCTACTTCATTTTGGTCTCTGGTGGAGAGTGGTCTCATTGGCAATCATACCAAATCTTCTTATTTTTATAATGTTGTCTGTCCTTTTTTACCCGTTTATTAGAATTTCTCTCAATAATTTACCCATTATATGAAAATTTCTGACAAATGGGATGACTTTCTTTGTATATTGTTACTTTTCCTTTCTTTTATGGTTATTTTTCTGTTGGCTACTTTTTACGAAGTGTTTATTTCTTTGTTGTCTGGATATCCATTTGTTGGCAGTGAGTTCAATGTTTCAATCGCAAGAAAATTTTTATTACTATTTATGACCTAAGCGACACATATAAAGATAACATAAACTGGTCAAAACTTTTACTACCTTTTTAGCCCAGTGAATCAAAATGTATATTAATCTACCAAATAACAAACCTCAGATAAAAATTGTCATTAAAGGGCAATAACTCCGATGAGGAGTAGACTGACTTGGCATTATTGACTTATATTAAGATCATGTCTTGTTGTTCATTTTTGCTATTTATAGTTTCTGTCTATCTAATATAGTTTTTAAGATATTAGGCAATATCGCAAAAAATTGGAAAAATTATCTTTAAGGATTCGACTGACTGTTACCGCCATGTTGACTTACTTGTATAACAAGCTGATCAGTATTGCCATATAAATCTCTCTCTATTATAGTTTTCAAGACAATAGGCAACAATGAAAAAAAAATGGTTATATTCATCATTTAAGGGCAATAACTCCTACAAAAAGAAGTCTGACAGTTATTCTGTAAATGGACAGTTGGTAGATCTCAACATTCAAAGATTTTTGGTCATGTCAGATTTTCTCTTATCTACAGCAGTTTTGGAGATAATAGAACAAACTTGCATTTTACCCCCTATTTTCTATTTTTAGCCATGTCAGCCTTGTAGGTCGACAGTCAGGATCATCGGACACATTTATCAAACTAAATACCCCAATGATGATTGTGGCATAGTTTGGTTAAATTTGGGCCAGTAGTTTCAGATAAGATTTTTGTAATTTAAGTAAACAAATGACAACAACAAATGACGGAGGCCAAGTGATGAGAATAGCTCACCTCAAGCATTTTCTTTGCCAAAGGACCAGATCTTAAACTTGATTTGTAACTTCTTGCTGACCTCTCCAGCTTTGCCAGGAGAGGAGAAATAAAATAAAGTAGAAAAAATGCTCTCCAGGGCTCAGCTTGCAACTACCACAGAGGTCCAACCTTAAACGGTTGGGGCAAGTATGGACACAACATTCCAAGCTTGATACAGCTCTGAATTTGGATTGTGATTAAATATTTGACACAGCATAGGTTTCTGCCGCAGAACGAATGTGGTTTAAGAACTTAATAATTTGAAATTGGACATTTACATATTATGGTCCAATATCAGAAATCTATATGCATGGTTAGATGCAGCAGAAAAAGAACCCCAAGAATTCAATTTTTGATGACATCAAACATAGTTTAATTTTGAAGCCTCTGCACCTCATTGTTGACCAATTTGATAAAAGGGCCCAAAATCCAATATCTAAATACACAGTTAGATTCAGCATATCAAAAGATCCTCATATATTCATTTTTTGTTGAAATCAAACCAAGTTAAATTTTGGACAATGATTTTGATCAACTTGAAAACGGGCCCAAAATTAATAAAATGCTCCGCTGGGGCGCAGCTTGATACGACCGCAGAGGTCGAACCCTGAACAGTTGGGGCAAGTATGGACACAACATTCAAGCTTGATACAGCTCTGAATTTGGATTGTGATTAAATATTTGACACAGCATAGGTTTCTGACACAGATTGAATGTGGTCTAAGAACTTAAAAAATTTTATTTACCTATTCAAACCATATCATTATTATTTGCTTTTATATATAAATCAGAAATAACCAATTTAAAATGGAAAATTTTAAAGAAAAAAAAGGAAAAAAAGGAAAAAAAATCCCCTCCCCCAAATTTTTTGAACCCCCTTATGATTCATCACCCCAAAACTCAATAACAGCCTTCCCTTTGTGGTATGGTACCTTGCAGTACAATTTCAGAGAGATCCATACACTTGAACACAAGTTATTGTCTGGAAACTAGCATAATGCTTGTTTTTTTGGCCCCTTTTTGGCCCCAAATTCCTAAACGTTTAGGGCAATTACCCACAAACTCAAACCCAGCTTTCCCTTTGTGATATGGAACCTTGTAGTACAATTTCAGAAAGATCCATACACTTACACACAAGTTATTGTCATGAAACTAGAAAAATGCTTGTTTTTTGCCCCTTTTTTGGCCCCTAATTCCTAAAATTTTGAGGCAATTACCCCAAAAATCAATCCCAGCCTTCCCTTAGTGGTATGGTACCTTGCAGTACAATTTCAGAGAGATCCATACACTTGAAAACAAGTTATTGTCTGGAAACTAGAAAAATGCTTATTTTTGGCCCCTTTTTCCTAAATGCTTTGGGCAATTATCCCCAAACTCAATTCCAGCTTTCACTTTGTGATATGGAACCTTGTAGTACAATTTCAGAAGGATCCATACACTTACACACAAGTTATTGTCATGAAACTAGAAAAATGCTTGTTTTTTGCCCCTTTTTTTGCCCCTAATTCCTAAAATTTTGAGGCAATTACCCCCAAAATCAATCCCAGCATTCCCTTTGTGATATGGAACCTTGTGGTACAATGTCAGAGAGATCCATACACTAACACACAAGTTATGTCTGGAAGTTACAAAAATGCTTATTTTTGGCCCCTAATTCCTGAACTGTAGGTACCATAAACCCCAAAATCAATCCCAACCTTCCTTTTGTGGTATTGAACCTTATGGCAAAATTTCATAGAGATCCATTCACTTAAACTCAAGTTAGAGTGCGAAAACCAATGTGTCTTCGTACGACGACGTCGCCAACGTCATACCAATATAAGACCACAAAATTTTTTTGCGGTCGTATAAAAATCTAAATTTATGTTCAGATTCAGAATATCAAAGAACCTCAAGAATTCAATTTTTGTTGAAATCAAACAGAGTTTAAAATTTAGGACCCTATGAACCTTAATGTGGACCAATTTGAAAAACGGGGGCTCAAAATTAAAAATCTAAATACATGGTTAGATTTGGTATATCAAAGAACCCCAATTATTCAATTCTTTATGAAACAAAGTTAAATTTTGGACCTTTTGGACCTCAATGTGGTTCAATATAAAAACAGGGCCCAAAATCCAAAACCTAAATACTCGGTTAGATTCAGCATATAAAAAAAACCCAAGAATTTAAGACTTTTAATTAAACCCCATTGAAATATATTAATTGGTCAAGAAATAAGCAATTTTTTACAAAGTATTAGAAAAGTATTGTTTTTGGCCCTTTTTTTCCTAAACGGTAATGGGCCATAACCCCTTTATCCCAACCTTCCTTTTTTTGTATGGAACCTTGTGGTACAATTTCATAGAGATCCATAGATTTATACTCAAGTCATTGTCTAGAAACCAGATTTTCCTTGATTTTTGGCCCCTAATTCCTTAAGGGTTTTGGCCATAACCCTGAAAAAAAATCCCAACCTTCCTTTTGAGGTTTGGAACCTTGTGGTACAATTTCATAAAGATCCATACATTTATACACAAATTATTGTCCTGAAACCAAAAAAATGCTTGTTTTTGGTCCCTTTTAGGCCTGTAATTCCTTATCAGTTAGGACAATAACCCCATAAATTAATCTCAACCTTCCTTTTGTGATATGAAACCTTGTGGAACATTGACATCGCAATACCATTATACGCCGCAAAAATTTGGGGTCGTTTAAAAAGTTACTAGAGGCTCAAAAGAGTGTGTAGGAGTTATTCTTTGGAAAATGCCTCTACTAAGTCAGGAATATGACGATTATTTTTCACTCGTTCTGTTAGTTGATGATGTTTGATTTAGTTAGTCTTTGTGTACTTCCTCTTTATGAATTTATCTTGGAATTCAGTTTTTTTGTTATACTTTATTGCTCACCGAGACTTATGCCTAATATCAGCAATGCCCAATCCTACTTTGCAACCTATTCAAATCTACTTAAGTTCCATATACTGGATTTCCAGAACGCTCGTTTCTATTATTGCTATGTACTAACAATTGTTTAAACTAACCAGCCATAGAAGCAAATATTACACCACAGTCATCACAATGTGGAATTCTTTCAAAAGGAGGATCTGTTTTCTCTGGAGGCATATAGCCTCTAGCATCAGTATCATCTGTACCTTTAGGGCCTTTAGGAGGATGGACTGCTTCATTACTTTCAATCTGTGTAGAAGAAACATCAGGACTTAGTTGTTTTGTTGATGTCATTAGCACATTAAATCCAGCATCTTGATTATCCAGTTCTTTATTGGTAGCTCTACTCCTACATGCCTGAAACAAATTTACATAAAATATCAAGTTTCTTTAACAACATCTGAAAAACCTAAGGGTAGCTAGTATAAACATAAGTTGTTTTATTTTATCTCTGACACATAATCCACCATTGCCACAATGGCTTAAAATATAACATAAGTAAGAAATAAATGTGAGTAATTTGCCATTTCAAAATCTAAAGGACAATATTACCAAAAATGAAAATACCGATTAATGCATGTTAAATTCTATTATTGTTTCGATCATTTATCCAATTTGTAATAATGACCCAAAATGCTTTAGACTCTTCTTTTGAATGCCAATTGTCCAATATCTGAATAGCCACAATAGATATAGAGAAAATCTGATGGTGAATAATTGCTTATAATGTCGAGATCCTTTGAAGGTACTTTCTTTTCAATTCAACCAATTACTTTGAATCTAAAAAAAAAGTTTGTGATGTTTTAATAAATGTGAAAATTGCAATGGCATAGCCTTTTCAATTATAAAAGCATTACAATTTAAATTTTCATAGCAATACTTGAATGCAGAATTTTCATAAATCAAAACAAACATTCTAACAGTTTTGTCCTTTTTCAACAATCGTAATAATTAAAGTCACCTTTTAGGAGTATAGATACAAGAGACCTACAATCTTATATGAGGGTCTGGATGGGGTTTACAGAATAGAAAAATAGGGCCAGTACTACAGATTAAAGTGCTGTGCAGGGAACAGCTTGATACAACCACAGAGGTTGAACCCTGAACAGTATGGGCAAGTATGGACAATTTTTTAATAATTCAGATTCAGCATATCAAAGAACCCCAAGAATTCAATATTTATCAAAAACAAACTAAAGGATTGATTTTGGACCATTTGGAAATCAAAGTTTAATTTTGGACCCCAAAAATACATTTTTGTTAAAGTCAAACTAAGTTTATTTGAACCCTTCAGACCTTAATGTGGATCAATTTGAAAACCTGACCCAAATCAAAAATCTAAATGCACAGTTAGATTCAGCATATTCAAGAGCCCCAAGAATTCAATTTTTGTTGAAATCAAACAAAGTTTAATTTTGGACCTTTTGGACCTTAATGTGGACCAATTTGAAAATGGGGCCCAAAATTCAAAATCTAAATACATCGTTAGAATTAGCATATCAAATAAAACCCAATAATTCAATTTTTGAGGAATTAAATCAAACAAAGTTTAGTTTTTGACCCTTGGGACCTCAATGTGGACCAATTTAAAAACGGGCCCAAAATACAAAATCTAGATACACGGTTAGATTCATCACATTAAAGAACCCCCAGAACTCAAGACCTTTATTTAAACCCCATTGACAACAAGATTGAAATTGGTCAAGAAATAAGCAATTTATACAAAGTATCAGAAAAGTATTGTTTCTGGCCCCTTTATTCCTAACGGTTAGGGACACAACCCCCACAATCAATCCCAACCTTCTTTTTTTTGGTATGGAACCTTGTAGTACAAGGATCCATAGATTTAAACTCAAGTTATTTTACGGAAACCAGAAAATCCTTTTTTTTTTGCCTCTTTTTCGCCCCTAATTCCCAAACGGCTAAGGCCATAACCTCCAAAATCAATCCAAACCTTCCTTTCGAGGTATGGAACCTTGTAGTACAATTTCATAGAGATCCATACACTTTCACTCAAGTTATTGTCCTGAAACCAGAAAATCCTTGATTTTTTTGCCTCTTTTTTGCTCCTAATTCCTAAATGATTTGAACCATAACCCCCAAAATCAATCCCAGCCTTCCTTTTGAGGTATGGAACCTTGTGGTACAGTTTCATAGAGATCCATACACATATACTCAAGTTATTGTCTGGAAATCAAATGTCTTCTGACGACGATGACGGAGACAAATTAACATCATACCATTGTATGACCACAAAATTTTTTCGTATAAAAATTGGTAAAAATATTAAATAGAGAAAAATAGGGCAAAAAAAATATATAGAATATGAAACAATTGGGAATAATGGAGTGCTATAATATATAGAATAGAGAATAATGGTTAAAATTGATAAAGAATGGAGAAAAATGGCAGAAAAAAATTAAAGAATACAAATAGAAAGAACCCCCATTCAGACTCTCCTATATAGTATGCCTCAAATGACAGTTTTATCAACTTAAGTGTTTCATCTTGAAAATTATGATAGGTAAACAGTAAACTGTTAACAGCATATATAAACATAATTATGATAGACAGAAACTGTAAGCAGCAAAAATATTGAGCAATATCAATTTGACTTGTTAGTAGTTGTTGCCTTGCTGATCATTTTTGTGATTTAAAGTGTCTATTTATCTATTATAATTTTTATCAGGAAAAACACCAAAAAAGGGGTGAAAATTGTCATTAAAGGGCAATAACTCCAATAAGGAGTCATCGGATGATTTCCTCTACATTGGCCCCAGAACACAGTGCATTTCTTTTAGACAATTAATTCAAATTAAAATAAAAATCGCACCTGCTCTATCGCAAAAAGATTTTTACAGTGTAGTGTACTACTATTGGGACAAATAATATCAAAATTATAGAAAAGTCTACATGCTCTAACTCATAATATTGACAATTCTATGTTAAGGGGGTCTAAAATACAGTTTGACAGCTTCAGACATACTAGTTTTTGATCTTTTTTAACTGGACCAAATCACTACTTAACATAAAGATTCAGCACCCAAATTTTTTTTAACATGTAATTGCATCCCCTTACTTAATATTTCATGCATAAAATATAAAGAAATAAATTTGGAAAGTGTATGAAAAAAATTTGCAAGTTATACACTGTCCACACTAGGGACTATATTTGTAGACAACGAAAATCTAAGGACGATAACTGTGTCCTCGGACCCATTGTGGTAATTGTAGATATTGTCTTGCTGATCATTTTTGCTTATTTAAGTTTCTATCTATCTATTATAATTTTTAAGATATAAAGCAAAAATGCAAAAAATCGGTAAAATCGTCATCAAAGGGCAATAACTCTAAAAAGGAGTCTACTGACGATTTCAACCATGCAGACTTACTCGTAGAACTTGTTCTACTGATCATTTTTGCAATTTAAAGTTTCTCTCTATTAAAGTTTTCAAGATAATAGGCAAAAATGAAAAAAAAAAAAAATGGTAAAATTTATCATTTAAGGGCAATAACTCCTAGAAGAAGTTGTCTAACAGTTTTGACATATATGGACAATTAGTAGAACATTTCTGCTCCCGTCAGATTTTCTCTCTTTATAATAGTTTTCAAAATAATAGACAAAACTTGCATTTTACCCCTATGTTCTGTTTTTAGCCATGTCGGCCATCTTGGTTTGCGGGCAGGGTCATTGGACACATTTTTTAAACTAAATACCCCAATGATGATTTAGGCAAAGTTTGGTTTAATTTGACCCAGTAGTTTCAGAGGAGAAGATTTTTGTAAAAGTTAACAGACGACGACAACGGACTACAGATGCAAAGTGATAAGAAAAGCCCACTTGGCCCTTTTGGATAGGTGAGATAAAAAGCATCAGAACTGTTTAAATTCTTACACAACATTTGAGGCTGTAAAAAAAATGTTTGATTGCCTGATGGCTTATGTTTCAGAGGAGAAGATTTTTGTAAAAGTTAACAGACGACGACAACGGACAACGGATGCAAAGTGATAAGAAAAGCTCACTTGGCCCTTTTGGATAGGTGAGATAATAAACAGCTGCGCCATGAGCGCATGATACGCCCGTCGTCTTGTGTGTGAATTTTTATGCAATAAGCATAAATAGTTTCTGACATACGGCGTGACATGCGAAAACCCCCTTTTTTTTTTTTACAAATACTATATCTATAAAATAAAATTTTGAATCAAAAACAAAAAGTATACAGATCTTTAGATTAATATAACTAAGAAGTGTGTAAAATTTTAAGCAATAATCATAAATCGTTTTTGAGATACGGCGCGACATGTGAAAACACCCCTTTTAAAAAAAAAAATCAATATCTCAAAAATAAAATTTTGAATCAAAACCAAAAAGTATACAGATCTTTAGATTAATATAACTAAGAAGTGTGTAAAATTTTAAGCAATAATCATAAATCATTTTTGAGATATGGCGCGACATGTGAAAAACCCCTCCCCCTTTTTTTACAAAATACTCAATAACTCAAAAATAAAATTTTGAATCAAAACCAAAAAGTATACAGATCTTAAGGTTAATATAACTAAGAAGTGTGTAAAGTTTTAAGCAATAATCATAAACTGTTTTTGAGATACGGCGCGACATGTGAAAAACCCCTCCCCCTTTTTAACAAAATACTCAATAACTCAAAAATAAAATTTTGAATCATCACCAAAAAGTATACAGACCTTAAGATTAATATAACTAAGAAGTGTGTAAAGTTTTAAGCAATAATCATAAACTGTTTTTGAGATACGGCGCAACATGTGAAAAAAAACACACACCTGTTTTAGTTACTAAGTCCCGTAACTCAAAAAGTTTTAATCTTATTTTCACCAAAAAGTATACAGATCATTTGACCATCATAAGAAACAACTATGTTAAGTTTCATGAAATTTGGATAAGTCATTCTCAAGTTACGGTGCGACATGTTTACGCCGGACAGACAGACGGACAGACAGACGGACAGACGGACAGACAGACAGACGGACGGACGCCGGACATTTGTATAACATAATACGTCCCGTCAAAAATTTGACGGGCGTATAAAAAGCATCAGAACTGTTTAAATTCTTACACATCTGAGGCTGTAAAAAAATGTTTGATTGCCTGATGGCTTACGTTAATATTAACTTCATATATAATGCATGCATTAACATGACAGAATGAAAACCACATTCATATAGAGCTGCATCTTCTTCTGCAGCATAAATAGCTACAATGTCCTTAAATGATATTCTAGAACATCAAATTGTGCTACAGTTTAGACATTTAGAAAGTTTTATTGCAAGGGTATTGAGGTAAATAATGCAAATCAAGATTATGTGCATTCAGTATTAATTTAATCACACTTTTACAGCTTGATCATATTGTTCTTGATGGATTACAGCATAAAATTTGTTTTGTGTTTGGAGATGTTAATAGAGGGATTCATGCATGATATGAAGGAGCCTTAGGACTTTGAGGTGCATAGGTACCATCCCTATACTATAGTCAGTGTTAACATAGTTTAACATAGGAATATGGCAGTTATATTTCACTTGTTCCGTTGATTGATAGGGTTTGATTTGTCAGTTTTTATGGACATTCCATTTTAGAATTTGCCTTGGAGTTCGGTATTTTTGTTATACTTTTTTTTAACACCCTTCCTTAAAGAAAAATGTTTTAGACAAATAGATGCACAATTTGACTTTTGCTTTTATCTAATAAGAGGCTTGTTGTATCTCTTCTTAGGTTTATAATGTGTATTGGTCACTTGAAAAATCACTCAGCTGTAAAAAATACTTGAATAAAATTGAGAATGGAAATGGGGAATGTGTCAAAGAGACAACAACCCGACCAAAGAGCCTTGGAAAAAAGTAAAGATCCACTTGTTAATATCACTGAAGATGCTTGGATAATGAAACTTTTTCTACCTTTTCTTCATGACAGCCTACTTGATGGCAGCTAAGAAATATTACTAACATGAACACATGCTCTTTCGCCATATTCAAATTAACCATCACATGCATAGACATCTTGTACTTCTATGTAAGAGTATTTACACAAACCATAACTGCAGTATTAAAACTTGCCTGTATGAAAAATAATTTCATTTTTTCCTGTATTTCTTTTATACCATTTATCTTTGTCATAAGATCTTGAGTTTTAAACTGACCATCCTTTGTGAAAAAGTAATGTTGATAATGCAGAGTATCGTCTCTTTCTTTTTCTGGTCTTTCATCTCCATGGGTGCTCAAAATAACTACTAAATACTTTACATTTGGCATGACCTTTAACTGCCCTTGAACTGAAACAAGAAAATATATAATCTGCTTAATGAAATATTCTCTGACACCATACCTGTCAACCTATGACAATGAAAATGCAGGTGATGACCTGCATGGTGTCTTCAACCTATGCCAACATTTGATAAATATATATTCAACCTATGCCTACAAACAAAATACAATAGGTGTTGTTATAACAATTACTAATTAATAACAGGTAAAATACAGTCAGTATTTTTAAGCATTAAAATATTACTCTTTGAAAAATTAAAAAAAAAAGAATAAAATATGTGCAATAGTGTTTTGTTACTATTAAGTAAAAATGATTTAAATAAAAAAAGACTAAAATGATAAAATAGAATACTTGATTCTAGCAAAATTGTGTTGAAGTAAATACTAAATTAATTATAAAAATACACAAAAATTGAACACGTACATGTAGTACTACAGAAAAAGAATGAAATTAAGCTATTTTATTTGAGAATTTTCATGATAAACTTTCTTATACTAAATATGCAACATACAAATAAAAAAGCAACACTATATACAATTATAATACCATAATTATATATAAACAAATAGTATTAAATCAAATTAATTTAGCAAAATGAAATTTAAAATAAGTATCAAATAAAATTTTTAAAAAATTCATTTATTAAACAGCGGCTTTCCAGTAAAAAAGTGCAGCCTTTATTTACTTAGTTTTACTTTAGAAATACGTGCTTGGTGTCGGTTTGTTTTTTATTTAAAAATATTTGAAAGGCACATACATACAGTTAAACATGCGAGATCCCAAACCTCCCCCCTAACCTGGGACAGTGGTTTAATAGTAAAACATAAGAACTAACTAAACAAATCAGTTGAAAAAAGCTTAACTCATCCGATGGATACAAATAGAAATACATCTAACAAAAACACAGAGTGGACTTGGCCGGGTACTTGTAAATCCCAACAACAAAAAGACATTAAGTACAGATCTGAGAGTACTCGCAGTTACTGACAGCTAGTTCAAAGCCACTAACAACTAATAAAAAAAATCATGCATCTAAGACCAAATGTTTTAGATATAGATATTCAGTTTGTTACCAATAGACTAGGCAGCAGAATCTAATCCACAGAGGGTACCAGTTCAGAGTTAAATCCAGACAATATGATAAAATATACACGATATGCACTACACGTAATTGTCCAGCAACATTAAAATACTCGCAATAACATACCTACAAAACTACCAAAGTGGTACAATCATGACAACCACAAAGTAAAACTACTGAAGAAACAGCAAACAGTTATTGAGGTTACAATAATCCAGACTGAGTACTCAGCAGTTATGTATGCAGATGCAGCATCATATCTTCTTCGTTTTAATAAGTGTATGACTTTTGAGATAATCATAGTGAACTTTGTACAATTCTCTGTCTGTGTCAATATTGTAGGATTCAATAATGAACATTCAAAATAGATATTTTACACGAGTTAGTATTTATGAAAAAAAAGTAAAATATCAAAAATACAGAACTATGTGTTTCAATAGTACTATATATAGTATAGTCATGATAGTCAGTATTTCTATGTATTTGAAGGAATCTATTTGAAATAGAATTAAATATATTTTTATCAAATATTTTATATAATTCATTAGATTGACACTGGTATATATTTTATATGAATAGATGATCATTTAATAAAATTATAGAATTTAACACTTATTTTCCATTATTTTGATATATTATTTTATATCAATTCCTTATGAAATAGAGATCCTCAACAAATACAATTATACCTACATTTTTACTATTACATGTAATAACAAAAATGGTATTAAAAGCTAAGTTTAAACTTGTTGTAAATTGATTAGCTCCTGATCAATTTATGTTGTTATAACGTTTAATCCGTTACACATTATTCAACCTATGCCAACATTTTTTCATACAATTTTATACCTAAATTTCAAAATGTTGGCATAGGTTGAATGAACCACCTGCATAGAAGAATGAAATCTCAGGTCATAACGCGTACAAACTTTTTCGAGCTGAATTTCAGTATTTAGGGGACATTTTTCTTATAATTTTTTCAAAGTTTCCAAAACATATCCACATGGTTAAGTAATTTAAAATTGTACATATTATTTCATTGCACTAGAAGGCCATTGATAAATTTATGTTAGGTTGGCTTAATTCATCTTCATTGCATACATTTGTGCAGGTTTAATCATATCATCATACCAGTTGTTGATATTCGAATATAAAAAGATAAAGTTAAACAATTAAAAGAGGTATAGATGAAAAAAGTAATTTTCAAAATTTTTATTTTTTAATTGTTCTAAGGTAGAAAAATAGTAAAAGTATTATTCTGATATGTTTTTGCATTCAATTCATTTCAGATTTAATCTTTTTACAAAAAACACATAAGTTTAAAGAGAATATTGTGAGATGACAAAAAAGGGGAAGTTACTCAAGTTGTTTTTAAAACAACTTTGAAATACACAAATTATTTACGAAGCTTAGGAATCCGGCTGAAAACGGGTTATTTTTCGAATTCACGGGTTATTTGGTCACCCGGCGGGTGTCACTGGTGACCTCCCAGAATTGTGAAAATCTCGGGTCACACCCACAGAATCCCGGTCAGTTGACAGGTATGCTGACACTCAGACAGGTGCAGCAAACCATAGTAGAGTTACGGACAGGACAATTTCAACTAAGCAGGTCTCTGTTCAATTCTATTCACAATTTTTTTTCGACTCCTGGTAATTTATATATCTTGATATACTGTAGAGAGGTCTTTCTTGTGTTGAAGACAGTATGTTGACCTTTAGATGTCTATTGAATTTTTGTGTCAAAACGTTGAGTTGCTGTCTCATTAATAAATGGCATTTCCCCATATTTCCTTTTATGTACATGATGTACTGGTCAATTACAATTATAATGAAATTCTGTTTTGAATTGACTTCTATTGTTTGAAATCCTTATTTCACCTCCCCGTGGTGAGCAGGGGACAACAGCTATATACATGTTATAATTGTCAACAGAAGAGATTTATATAAATTATAATGATAAATAAGAAATAAGAAATATCATTCACCTGTAATCCTATCTGTACACAATCGGCACAAATGAAAGAAAAAATCGGCGCAAATGCAAAACGACGAGAAATCTATCACTCATTGATTAATTTACCTGACCAAAAAATTATCTTCTTTGTTGATTGAAATACATGTATAAAACTCAGAAAACTGCATGTGATGTTGTATTTATTCAATATCAATAATATATTTTCAATTTGTTCAATATAAACACTGATTCAATTATAAAAAGTTTATTTCTGACAAAATTTTAAGTATTGTTCCAATGAATTTGCATGTTTTTTGTGGTTGTTCAGTTATAGAATACATTTATGAAGGCCTTAATTTAAACATCATCATTCTTTAGTTTTTATTCGTCAAACACACAAAAAAAAGCAAATTTTAATATGTAAAATATTGAAAATTTGATCAGAAATCAACTTTCAATTTTTGAATCAGTGTTTATATTGAACAAATTGAAAATGTTTTTGTGCTATTGAATAAATACAACATCGCATGCAGTTTTGTGAGTCCTTATTTACTATTGGTACGTGTATTTTCATCATTGAAAGTTAAATTTTTTGTTCAGGTAAATTAATCAGTGAGTGATAGATTTCTTTTAGAAGAAATTTAAAGGTCCCATTGAATAAACAACACAGAGAACAATAGCTACTGTATTAGATGGGACAAAAGAACTTACAAAAGTTTAAATCAACAGGTAACTTTCAAGTGAATCTGTGGAAAAGTATCATTTGGTTCGCAATAATTAAGTATAAAACTAGATGTGTCGCAAAGACACAAATATCCCCACTCGCAAGAAAAGCTTGAAGCCATATTAAGGAGTGGAAATTTGAGAACAAATGTCTGTATAACTGGTATTGTCACGAAATTTCGTATTACTGTTATTTTCACAAAATTTTCAAAGTCAAAAGCTCGTAATTTTCAGCAAAAATCAGGGGAGCCCAACCAAACATAAACTTGATGTGTAACTCATCTTAGTAGACTCACATACTAAAGTCATTTCAATATGAGAAGGCATTTGGAAATAAATGAGGAATGTGTCCATGGGACACAGATGATGCCCCTGCTTGCATATCATATTAAGTTATAAAGGGACATAACTGAAGAATAGTAAAAGTGATGCTACCAAAATTTGTACTTGATCTGAGTTTTGTAGTAATAAGTATACTGTGTATAAGGTTCATAAAATTTGGTTGAGGCAAACTTAAGTTAGAGAACGGAAACAAAAAATTCAGCAATATTTCCATTTGTAAAGTGGCATAACTCTAGAATGGTTAAAGTGACACCACCAAAATTCAAACTTTATCTGTATTTTGTGGTAATAAACATTGTGTATAAGTTTCATAACATTTAGTTGAGGCAAACTTAAGTTAGAGAATGGAAAGGAAAAATTCAGCAATTTTTCCATTTGTAAAGGGGCATAACTCTAGAATGGTTAAAGTGATGCCACCAAAATTCAAACTTGATCTGTGTTTTATGGTAATAAGCATTGTGTATAAGTTTCATAACATTTGGTTGAGGCAAACTAAAGTTAGAGAACGGAAACCAACTATGGGACTTACGTACGAACGTACAGACGGACAAGGGTAAAACTTAATGCCCCCTCCACTATGGTGGGGGCAATAAAAGTCTGTATAACTGTTTGTTGTGGAATGACAGAATGATGGATAAGGGTAAAACTATATGACCCCGACCACTTTGATACTGGGCCTAGAATCCTTTACAATACCCCCAATGACTTTCCCCTATTAAACTATGTAAAATTGACATTTCTTTTTAAATTGTACAGAATTTACCTTTGTTCAAAAGAAAAATTTGGCATGAATAAAGTTCTATCCTATCCAGTACTACAGTAAAAATTTCACGCTATGTTTCATTGCATATAAGGATGTAATCTTTCAAAACAAACAAGGCAGTTTCTCAACTGTCATTTTCTTGTTTTCAAAACATTGGTAACTAGGTCAAAGCATGTTTCCAAATATTTTATAGGAACACCAAATAAAACAAAATGATGCCTTAAATCACCTAAGATATATCCTTATAGAGGGAAATCTCTCTTTGGAGAGGTTTAAAATTTTGACACCTATAGTTGTTAACTTCTATGTCATTTGGTCTCTGGTGGAGTGTTGTCTCATTGACAATCATACCACATCTTCATATTTTATGCCTATGCTTCCCTGCTTTTTCACTGAACCAATGTTAGTTTGTGACTGTGTCTTAGATTTTACGAGTTAACACAGAGTATTGCAATCCAAACATTAGTATTACTGTTTGACTTTAAAAGCACAGGTCAGAGAGTAAGTATTTTATATTTCAGTGTTTTGATAAAATATATGTGACAAAATATTTTGAAACAGGGATTTAAACTTCATGCCTTACTTGTAACAAGAATGTGTCCATAGTACACGGATGTCCCACCTGCACTATCCTTTTCTATGTTCAGTGGACCGTGAAATTTGGGTCAAAACTCTAATTTGGCATTAAAATTAGAAAGATCATATAATAGGGAAAATCGATGTGTACTAAGTTTCAAGTTGACCAAAAACTTTAACCTGAAGCAGGACAGACAGACGAACGGAGGAATGGAAGATGAACGAACGAACTATCGTAGGTGGGGCATAAAAATAATATCATTTGAAAAGTATGATATAAACAAAGTCAAACTATGCATCACTTACTCATTTTTTCTAATTTGGTATCATAAAAGCTACTTTCTTCATCCATAAATGGAAGAACTTTACAGTCATATACATTCCAAATGCTCTCCATCAAATCTCTATCTTTTGGACCACTAGGTCTTTCTCTCAATTTAACTGGGTTGTTTTTAAAAGTAGTATGTATGCAGATTACAGCTAAGCCTGTTGCTAGACTTTCCTTTGGAATATCTTCCTCAGACTTACTGCAATAAAAAGTTGTTCAATGTAACCGGGTGAGTCTTTATAATTACTACAGTTTTTATTTTAATTGCTATCTTACATGTTTTATATGTATGTCATTATTTACAAGGGGCATTAACTGTCAAATTCATGTTCACCGATTTGACTCAAAATTCTCATGTTTGATTTATAACATACTAAAACCTATATCCAAATTACAAAAATTCCAAAAGAAATAATTAACAATGCATGGACATTTTATAATGAACAGCTTTTAGTGTGTATTTTTTTCTTACTCCTAAATGCTTATGTAGTATCAAAAGCCATTTGTAAGTCTTTTGTTTGGCCCAGTCAGAAATGGAAGTGGAACCAACAATTAACCTCCTGCACCCCTGACTAGCACAATTTCACATGAATGAGATCGCCAAGGTAGTCAAATTGACTCAGGATTTATGTTTCAATGTATGCTTGTGATACATGCACAGTTCATTTATTCAATTATTAAATTGTTAAGGATATAAAACATATAACAAGGTGTTTGGAATAAGTATTGGACAGCCATTTTCATGTCTTTTTTGGATGTCAGACAACTGCAACCAAATCTCACTATCAACTGTTGAGATGTTAGTTTCTTTGTATTGGGAGGACTAGTATATTTTCTCTTCAATCTAACAATACATGTTTATGTCTCACCTACTCAAGTTAAATTTCTTGAAAGATGAGACATATTTAGGAAATAATAATATAGCTTATAAAAGAGGGGCAAAAGATACCAAAGGGACATTCAAACTCATAAGTCGAAAATAAACTGATAGCGCCATGGCTAAAAAAGAAAAAGACAAATAGACAAACAATAGTAAACAAAACACAACAGAAAACTAAAGACTGAGGAACACGAACCCCACCAAAAACTGGGGGGGCTCCGGAAGGGTAAGCAGATCCTGCTCCACATGTGGCACCCGTCGTATAAACTTACATATATTCTTGTGTATTCTTTGCTTCTTTGGAAATGACAGTAAGCTTTGAATGTTCACTACCATCCAATTCTACAAAAGCAAGAACAGTTTGAATTAATTATTTGGATTTGTTATTTATCTTCATATTTTTGGTGTATTTCGGTGTTGATATAATAGATCCTTGAAAGTTTATTTCAAATTCATTTACTACTTTTCCAGACTCATTTATAATAGAGCTTGACATATGATAAAGACACTTGCATATTAATGAAGATTGTATGTTTAGTGTTAGATGTCTTCTGATTTTTGTGTTGTTGGGTTGCTATCTCATTGATATACATACCACATCTCTTTTTTTTTTCTTATTAACACTTGTCACTATATAATATAATAAATTTTGAAAGTATGAACCCCTGCTCAAGTGCCACATAAAGTGTGACATCAATGCTGCTTTTTCAAATTGCATGAATATCTAAATGAATGTGTTCAAATTGTAGGAAAATAATTATAAAGGAAAGATATCTTTTCGAATGCAATGATGATTTTACAATTGATTGATTGATTGTTGGTTGCTTAACGTCCAGTGGCAAATATTTCATGCATATTCAGGACGAGAACAAATTAACAATAAATACAATAGGTAGGTTCTGTAATAGTGGCTTCTGGGATTAAGGTCGGAGAAATTTAGACTGCCACGGGAAATGAGGGTATATTGGATAGGGACAGAAATTTAGCCTTGCAACAGGTCACCTACGGACCCCTCAAAGAGTTGTTGCAAGGGTTCTTAACGTGCAAAGAGCGTGGCACTCTCTTTACACGAGGCATCGGATTTAACATCCCCATTCTGACCAGACGTGGCTGCAAATTTGTACATCCCGCACAGCCAAACGGACGCCCCACTTTAGCAAGGGTTTTACAGCAGGTCAGAGGAAGACCAATAGTGACCATACTTCTATTCCCCAGTCACCCTTGGGGGTGATTTTACAATTGAAGGTACCAATGCTAGGTGTTGGACAAACAAAGACAAACAAAGACAAACAATAATAATAAAATTATCTCTCTTTTAACTACCAATCTAAAATGTTTTTACATTTATTTTCGTTTCTAATTTAAGAAAAATTTAAATACAGCTTTTGCAGAAATCAATGAAAGTAAACGACGATTTAGATGAGAACTACATAATATGTTTAAATGTAAAAATTCAATGCTATTGATTTCTTAAGGTGGTACCAACACCCTGACTAAAATTAATTTGGCTCGTTTAATTTTCATAAAATTTTGACAAAATATTTACTTTGACCCTTTGACTAAAATATAAAAATTTCAAAACACTTGAACCACACACTTTATCGGAAAAAAATCATTGGATATATAGCAGTTTGACAAACACTTATTTTGATCATTGAGAAGCTTAATATTTCCTTAACAATAGAACGTGATTAAAACGTTCAGCTGATTTTTACAGAGTTATCTCCCTGTAGTGTTATGTACCACCTTAACACTCAATTCTGACTTGTTAACATTAATTGCAACACTAAATTGAAATTATTAAAGCTTATACTTTAAAAAGATAAAAACTACATTGACATAAACAACTTCGTGATGACCAAACACAATTCCAATGTTTGACAAACATTGATAGACTGATAAAAATGATATATTGAAAGTTGAATTGGGACAAATCGGGACAGATTTCCTATATTATAAATAGAGACTTTGCTTTATGAAACACCCACAGTACCAATAAAACATACAATTTCAACTATTCAGGTGTGCAGAATTGTCTTGTACAAGTAAAAAATGATTAGAATTAGATCTAATAAAATGCTCCGCTGGGGCACAGCTTGATACGACCGCAGAGGTCGAACCCTGAACAGTTGGGGCAAGTATGGACACAACATTCAAGCTTGATACAGCACTGAATTTGGATTGTAATTAAATATATGACACAGCATAGGTTTCTGACACAGAATGAATGTGGTCTAAGAACTTAAAAAATTTTAATTTACCTATTCAAACCATATCATTATTATTTGCTTTTATATATAAATCAGAAATAACCAATTTAAAATGGAAAATTTTAAAGAAAAAAAAATCCCCCTCCCAAATTTTTTGAACCCCTTATGATTCATCACCCCCAAACTCAATCCCAGCCTTCCCTTTGTGGTATGGTACCTTGCAGTACAATTTCAGAGAGATCCATACACTTGAACACAAGTTATTGTCTGGAAACTAGAAAAATGCTTGTTTTTTGGCCCCAAATTCCAAAACGTTTAGGGCAATTACCCCCAAACTCAAACCCAGCTTTCCCTTTGTGATATGGAACCTTGTAGTACAATTTCATAAAGATCAATACACTTACACACAAGTTATTGTCCTGAAACTAGAAAAATGCTTGTTTTTTTTGCCCCTTTATGGCTTCTTATTCCTAAAATTTTGAGGCAATTACCCCCAAAATCAATCCCAGTCTTCCCTTTGTGTTATGGTACCTTGCAGTACAATTTCAGAGAGATCCATACACTTGAACACAAGTAATTGTCTGGAAACTAAAAAAATGCTTATTTTTGGCCCCTTATTCCTAAACGTTTTAGGCAATTACCCCCAAAATCAATCCCAGCATTCCCTTTATGATATGGAACCTTGTGGTACAATGGCAGAGAGATCCATACACTAACACACAAGTTATGTCTGGAAGTTACAAAAATGCTTATTTTTGGCCCCTTTTTGGCCCCTATTTCCTTAACTGTTGGTACCATAACACCCAAAATCAATCCCCACCTTCCTGTTGTGGTATTGAACCTTATGGTAAAAATTCATAGAGATCCATTGACTTAAACTAAAGTTAGAGTGCGAAAACCAATGTGTCTTCGGACGACGACGACAACACCAACGTCATACCAATATACGACCGCAAAATTTTTTTGCGGTCGTATAAAAATGAAAGACACACACTGGTGATGGATGAACAGAAATTTCTTAGACAGACATAGACTTATACTTAACCATAGATTTCATTAAGACAGACACACTTTCTTTTCCCTGTAAGCTTCTATTTACAGCTAGTTAGCATATCATGGAATGCAATGTTCATATTAAATTGAGTAGACCATCATAACTGTCATTGCAAAGACTTTATAATTCCAGAGAATCTGTTTAATATATTACTAGAGTGACGCTACCAAAATTCAAACTTTATCTGTATTATGTGGTAATAAGCATTGTGTATAAGTTTCATAACATTTGGTTGAGGCAAACTTTAGTTAGAGAATGGAAACTAAAAATTTGGGAATTTTTCCATTAATAAAGGGGCATAACTCTAGAACGGTTAAAGTGACGCCACCAAAATTCAAACTTGATTTGTATTTTGTGGTAATAAGCATTGTGTATAAGTTTCATAACATTTGGTTTAGGCAAACTCAAGTTAGAAAACGGAAACCAATTTTGGGACAAGATTTGGACAGACACTATAATGTCCAACACCTTATTTTTGTCTTGCTTTTAAGGCCAAAAACATTCAAAGAATTTCAGTAATATAAAATAAATTTTACACCTGTCTTTTTCAATAAAAGATTCAACTGACTCATGAAAACAGTCATACCACTGTCCCAGGTTAGGGGAGGGTTTAGCGCTCACAAACATGTTTAACCCGTCACATTCTTTATGTGCCTGTCCCAAGTCAGGAGATTGTAGTTCAGTGGTTGTCGTTGGTTCATGTCTGTCATAATTGTTTTTCGTTAATTGTTTTGTTATAAATTAATTAAGCTGTTATTTTTCTCAATTGTATTGTTTCATATTTTTCATGTCAGGGCCAACTATACGGTATTGGTTTTTCTCATTGTTGAAGGCCATACTGTTGCCTATAATTGCTTACATCCACTTTATTTGAACTTGGAGGATAGTCGTCTCATTGGCAATCATACCTCATCTCCTTATTTTTATATATAACTGCATTTAGCTCTTATACATCATTGTACATTCTTCAATGTTATATCCTGTCACAAAATTAAGTGAAAAATCCATTTATTTTTATTCTATAATGTTCATAAGACAACTGAAACAATATTAATTTGAAATGTTCATGCAAGTATTTCCAAAATCCATCTTAAGGCAAAAACTTCTTGCAACAACCCTTAAATGTAGCACCTTAGCAAATAATAACTTAAACATATTTTTTTTAATAAAGTTTTTTTTTGAGGAAAATTAAATATTCCTGCAATGCATACATGCACATTTTGAACAATGTGATTTTCTTCACTGAAAATGGATATTAATTTACCATCAGCAACATCAGCATCTTCAACTTTCTCAGTGCCGCATTGGTTACAGAATTGTTGTGTAATTGCCATTAAAGTCTCACAACTACTGCCATCATCTTTCATCCCTTTGCACATAATCATCTTTACATTACATTTAGTACATATCGGCTCATGAGTGTGCTGAAGTGAGTTGCAACTTGGACATTTTTTCATCTTGACTTCTAATTCAACTTTTTTACCACACAGTTTACAAAACTTATCATCTTGTTGAACTTCATGGCAACAATTTTTGCTTTTCATATTGGTATGAAAAGGTCTAAAAAATAAGTATATACATAATAAAATTCAAGAGCCTATCCTAAATTGAGGTAAATTATATGGCCTTCCAAATTTCGTTTCGATTCTTAACATCACTGAAGAGACAATAATTGTCAAAATATGGATATGGTGTACAAATTTTTGCACCTCATGTTTGCAGTATACCATCTTTTCCACAAGTTTATTTTTTTCTGTTGTTTTGTATTAAATTAATAATAAAGATCTATTTTGTTACATCTTGTGATCCGTTTATTTGGCAATCGCCAATGGCAGTCAGCAGGGTTTAAGAACATCCGTTGTTCGACCTGTTAGTCAAATGCGTTTTGTTAAAATATACTTTTTCACTTTTTTGGTCTTTTGGAAAATGTTGTTTGTGCTGTATTTAGACCCCTCTACCAAGAAATTTGATTTGCATGCACACGTATAAAAATTGCGGTTTTTATCCAACACAATCGTAGGTTTGAACGTTGTTTTCAATTTAGACTTATTCATAATCAACATCATTATATACAAATTATAAGCCCTAGTTTGTTGAGACAAGCATTTATGAATTTTAAAGGATAATGCTGTGTCATGTGGGAAAGATGATGATGATGATGATGGATGGCTTTTTATCATCCAGTGGAAAATAAAATATATATATATATATATGGTTATAGGATGAGAACATGGTTAATGCTATATAAATATATAAGCCCTCAGCTTTGTACTAGATTCTACATGCTGAGCTGGATTTTTAACGTGCCACTCATTGTTCACAAGGTAACATTTACTGTCCGAAAATACTGTAAGTGTGGGGATTGATAGATTCATTGCTGATTTTGTATAAATGTACACAATGACATGCATGTTACCATGACCTCCAAAATGTTTGATGAAAAGAAGACATACAGGTACATGTTTTAAAGCTGAAAATAGTATAAATGCAAATTACAAAAAAATAAGTTGAAGATTGAATTTTCAAAGTCCAAAGTCCTTAACTTTGACAAAAGATGATCAACCAGAACAAAATGTATACTCTAAATGTCATGTATCATGTGTATGTAAGTCATCATTATACATTTAATTCTGTATAAAGGTGTGAACAATAAAATGACAAGGTTTACCAAATTTTTTGAATAAATGAGCAAATTTTTTTTATCTCCCTTCAACATTTTCAAATAGAATTTAATGGCATATTTTAAATACAGAAAAGATCTCTCTTTAAATTTTTCCTTTTAATTTTTACGCTAAGTTAATTTTGATATGCACCATAAAAAAATGCAAATCAAAGTTTACCTACATACTGTACTATTCAAGATATATGTGTTTTATTTAAAAACACTAAATTTCATTTTTCAATACTGTTTTCAGAAAAAATAACAACTTTCAAACAGAAAGAACTATTAATTACTATTTCCACCTGTTTTTTTTTGTTGCAAAGTGTTCCTTAATCTATAAAATAAAAGCTGCATGTATGCATGCAATAAAATTTTTGTGAAATCATACAATTATTGGTATTAAAAAGCTACAGACAATTTTCTTGCCAATACAATTGTATACAGAACTAATTTCACAGTTGATTCTTTCTTGTAATTTTGACGTTCTTGAAGCAGAACAAATACATAGTCCATTGCATAAGAAATAAATGTGGATAGTGTCCACATGTGGACACAGATGATGCCCCCGCTTGCATATCATATTGTAATAAAGGGACATAACTGAAGAACGCAACGCTGAAGTGACGCTACCCAAATTTGAACTTGATCTGAGTTTTGTGGTAATAAGCATTGTGTGTAAGTCTCATAACATTTGGTTGAGGCTAACTTAAGTAGAGAACAGAAACTAAAAATTCAGCAATTTTTCTATTTGTAAACACTCAATTATAACTCTAGAACGGTAGTGTATAAGTTTTATAACATTTGGTTGAGACAAACTAAAGTTAGAGAACGGAAACGAAAAATTCAGCAATTTTTATGTTTATAAAGGGACATAACTCAAGAATGGTAAAAATGTCGCCACCAAATTTCGTACTTAATCTGTATTATGTAGTAATAGGCATTTTGTATAAGTTTCATAACATTTGGTTTAGGCAAACTAAAGTTAGAAAACGGAAACAAAAAATTTGTACTTGATCTTAGTTTTGTGGTAATGAATATTGTGTATAGGTTTAGTAGTGTTTGGTTGGGGCAAACTTAAGTTACAGAATGGAAACTCAAAATTTTGCAATCTTTCGATTTATAAAGGGGCATAACTCAATAATGGTTAAAGTGACACTACCCAAATTCAACTTGATCTGTGTTTTATCAGTGGAAGTCAAAATTAAACATTGCATTGTATAAAGCATTGATTGTAGTTGATTCAACTATAATCATGGACAAAGGAAGATAACTCCAATTTTAAAAATTACTTGATATTTAGAAGAAAATAAAAATTTTGCAATTTTTCCATTTATAAAGGAGCATAAATCTAGAACCGTTAATGTGACGCCATCAAAATTCAAAGTTGATCTGTGTTTTGTGGTAATAAGCATTGTGCATAAGTTTCATAACATTTGGTTGAGGCAAACTCAAGTTAGAGAACGGAAACCAATTTTGGGACGTACGTACAGACGGACAAGGGTAAATCTTAATGCCCTCACCGCTACGGCGGGGCATAAAAACTGTGGATCCAGGTGCTCTCTAAAGTAATTCAAGTGCCTTAATATATTACATGTTAGTTTTTTCATGTAAATAAAGTCATTATGAACATTGGACTCTTTAACTTTGACGCAATAACATAACATAACATAGGATTGTGAAAGTCATCTATTATACAGTTTTATTCAGCAATACTTCCTTAATGTCTGCAAAGTGCAAAGTTTCAAATTGCACTTCCCAACAACAAGGGAGAAACAGGAATTTGGTTGAAAAATCTGCCAAGGGAGATAATTTTTACAGTCTGATAGAACTATATATATTTATTAATTAGCGCAAATGCAGATACATGTATACACATAAATGTGAAGCTTCCGTTTGGAAGATTATAATTCTGTTTTCTGTTGAAGAGATCAAAAGTCTGTGTATCAAAGATTTCACGAACCTTACCGTCACGTAAATTTTCAAACACCATATTTACTACTAAGTTGTTTTCAAACATTTACTATTATAAGTGGTAAAATCACAAGTTTATTGAACATATGTTTACCCATCGATTTACTGACATTATTCTGACCTACTGTCAATGACATCTTTCCACTAAATCCATTGGATGTTGGATGTGTATATAGTCTGATTGATGTTTTTGTCTTAGATACATGATTTTTTTATTAGTTGTTATTGGCTTTGAACTAGCAGTCAGTAACTGCATGTGAGTACTCTAATATTTGTACTTTGTGTCTTTTTGTTTTGTTTTTAGGGATGTATAAATACCATGCCATGCCTGGTCTATATATAGATATGTTTTTGTTAGATGTTTTTTATGCCCTCACTGTAGCGGAGGGGGCATTAAGTTTTACCCTTGTCCGTCCGTCTGTACGTCCATCCGTCCGTCCGTCCATCCGTCCGTAAAATTGGTTTCCGTTCTCTAACTTTAGTTTGCCTCAACCAAATGTTATGAAACTTATACACAATGCTTATTACCACAAAAAACAGATCGAGTTTAAATTTTGGTGGCGTCACAATATCCCATAAAATTATACAAGGTTAGAACCCCCAATTCTTAATTAATCCCATCGAAATTGGTTAAAACATTTGTATTTGTTTTCAATTGAAGATTTCTTGCTATTGTGCAATACTGTGCAATTGAAGATTTCTTGCTATTGTGCAATACTGTGCTATTGCCCAATACTGTGCAATTGAAGATTTCTTGCTATTGCCCAATACTGTGTTGTTGCGCAATGCTGTGCAATTGAAGATTTTTGCTATTGCTCAATACTGTGCAATTGAAGATTTCTTGCTATTGCGCAATACTGTGCAGTTGAAGATTTCTTGCAATTGCGCAATACTGTGCTATTGTGCAATACTGTGCAATTGAAGATTTCTTGCTATTGCAAAATACTGTGATATTACACAATAGTGTGCTATTGCATAATACTGTGCAATTGAAGATTTCTTGCTATTGCCCAATACTGTGTTGTTGCGCAATGCTGTGCAATTGAAGATTTTTTGCTATTGCTCAATACTGTGCAATTGAAGATTTCTTGCTATTGCGCAATACCGTGCAGTTGAAGATTTCTTGCTATTGCGCAATACTGTGCTATTGTGCAATACTGTGCAATTGAAGATTTCTTGCTATTGCACAATACTGTGATATTACACAATACTGTGCTATTGCACAATACTGTGCTATTGCACAATACTGTGCAACTGAAGATTTCTTGCTTTTGCCCAATACTGTGCTATTGTATAATACTGTGCTATTGCGCAATACTGTGCAATTGAAGATTTCAAAAAATTTTAAAGAAAAAAAAGAACCCCCCAAAAAATTGGGGAAAAAAATCCCCCCAACTTTTTGAAACCCCCCCCCCTTTTGGATTAATTACCCCCAAAATCAATCCCAGCCTTCCCTTTATGGTATGGAACCTTGTAGTACATTTTTAGAGAGATCCATACACTTAAACACAAGTTATTGTCTGGAAACTAGAAAAATCCTTGTTTTTGGCCCCTTTTTTGCCCCTAATTCCTGAATGTTTGGTGCAATTAACCCCAAACTAAATCCAAACCTTCCCTTTGTGATATGGACCCTTATGGTACAATCTCAGAGAGATCCTTACACTTACATACAAATTAGTGTCCGGAAACTACAAAAATGCTTCTTTTTGGCCCCTTTTTGGCCCCTAATTCCTAAACTGTTGGTACCATCACCCCAAAAATCAAACCCAACCTTCCTTTTGTGATATTGAACCTTCTGATAAACATCCATAGAGATCCATTCACTTAAACTAAAGTTATTGTCTGGAAACCAAATGTGCCTTCGGACGACGACGAAGCAGATGATGATGCAGACGACGACGACATCATAGCATATAAGACGCA